TTACTATTATTATTATTATTTTTTTTGTTTAATGAAGGCTGTTATATTAGCAGCCCTTACTTATCTAAATTACATTAGCAGTAACTCATTTCATTTACTAATATATGTTCCCTGTAAACTTCTACCCAATCCTGCACTGAGCTTACATCAGCCAACCTCACTAAATGGCAGCAATTAACTTCATATACAAAGAAGCTGAAAACCCCAAGCTATAAGCTCTCAGGCCCAACGGTCATCCATCTGGCAGACCTGCGGCTTTAAGTCCACTCCAAGACCAAGTGGACACCCTGCAAAGAAAGAAGAAGAAGACCACCAATATTAGAAATTCAATTTTTAGTGCTCAGCAGAGTGGCAGAACTTCGCAGAAGGCCAGAAGCCAGAAAGTCAGTGGCGTTCATGGCTGAAGGACACTAGTGGTTAATGGTCTCAAAGAGTTGAAGTATTTTTTCAACAGTATCTTCAACGTAATTTCCATAATCATACATATTTATGTTCTTCCTGAGTTCCTCTGGGATCTGCTGCCGCTGGTCCTGATTGTTCCTTCTTTGGTCACCCGTATTTTTATCTGCCTGTTTATATTTTAGCTTTGTATGCTGTAACCTGTAAGCCTAAGGTAAGGACAAGTAATTCTTTGTACCTTCCAAATAGTGGCAGTTGAGATCATGTTTTTTTTTATAGGGTCAACATACAATTTTTGCAGGGTGTGGAGTTTGCAAGCCACTATGCAGAGGGTGGATGCAGCATCGGCAATATATGGATTTTTAAGCCCAAAGCGTCGCCGGCCATTTTAAAGATGCGTCGCCGGGTAATTTTTAATGAAAAGCCATTTACGCTGAGTAATGACTGTCTCTTATACACATCTTTATGAAGTCTTTTCGACACTTAATAAAATCACCCATTGTCAACAGCCTTAATTAAAACTAAAATAAGTCACAAGAATACAAAATGAGTGAATTTTGACCAAAAATAACCAATAAATGATAAACATTTTATTTGTAGATGAGTAAATATAAGGTAGTTAAAAACTTTATGCTAATGGGCATTATAACGCACACAGAATTTTGTCAACAGGATCATAGTCATTAAAATCAATGAATGCAAATCCTCGATGCCGTCCACTGGAGCTGTCATACATGNGGGAGGGGAATGAGATATGCAAATTCCATCAATCACGTTTTTAAGCCAACACCTGTGTGCAACTTTTATGCAAGTAAAAATATCTAATACAGCAAATTTTTTTTTGCTACAGACCTTAGCAGAGGTACTTTTCTAAAATCTCACTTTTCACACTTTTTTTCAGCAATTTTTTAGAGATAGTAAGATATTTGAGTTTGGCCTTCCATGATGGCCCCAGGCTCTCCATTTCCTAAAGTGATGAGGTATTATCTGAAGATTTCATGGCAATGACTAGTTAATTTTGAGCAGTATTCTTTGTAGCTACATGTTTGCAATGCCAGTCTTCCAAAATAGAGAGTCAAGCTGCCAGGCATTGGCAGGCAAGGCTGACATAGTCATAGGGCAGGTGCCCCTCTCCTCTTCAGTTTTCACAATAGTAATAACAAATTAAAAGTTCTGATCCTTATTAATTGATTAATGAAATTTTTTGAGGTCTCGAAATGCAGAGTTCGAGACATACGTTCATAGTCAGTCACTGCCGGCGCCAAACCGTCGCACATCCGTTGTCTACCCAGCTCAAACCGGCGTGGCGTGGCTAGAGGGTTACAAGCTGCAGTGCAGAACGCGTGGTGAACAATGGATCGATCAAATGCAGCGGAGATACAGGTGATTCCGTAATTTTAGGAGCTGACGCTGTAATAGAATATCACTATTTGTCACTGGTGTCAAAAAATCCCAACTTTTCAAATTATTTTGAATCTAGGAACTTCAATTTTAGCGTTTGATGCAGATCTGCAATTTTTATGCATAAACATGTTCAACGATCTTATCTGACGTAATTTCTAGTGAAACCTAAGGATTGCTTCAGGTTCCGCAGGTTTAGCGCTTATATCTCCGAAAACATTTAACCCCGAGAGTGCGGAGTGGTGAAATAAAGAGAATGTAACATTTAATAAATGTAAATCGTCACTCCGCCCTCGGCAATAGCATTTAGCGCTCGCAGGTAATAGTGCATAGAAAAGCAATGACCATGTTTCAACCTATCGGAGAGGCTGAATGAACGGCATCAATCGAATTGGTGGGTTATAATGGACGGGTTACACTGTAATTTTAATTGAAAGTAAACGAATAGACAACGATGCAGGCAGGAATACTTAACGTAGGAACAAAGCAATGTCCTTTGAAGGAGTGCAGATAGCCGACGGTAGAGTTACCGACGACTGACGGTAGAGTTTACAGACGACTGACGGTAGAGGCAAAGACGACTGACGGTAGAGGCATAGACGACTGACTGTAGTGGCACAGACGACTCGCGGTAGAGGCACAGACGACTGGCGGTTCAATTGGCCTACTCCATAACACTGCGGTGGTAGTCCTGCTCTTAACTCGGGTCACGGGTGTACCAGATAGTCTCCCCAACCGGAACTGGAATAGACGCAAGAGAGATCAGCATGACCCCTTAAGTGTTTCAAAGGTTATTCGGAACAGAATTATCACAGGCAAGACAAATGAAGATTTCCCATCAAGAGCACACATTAAGCTACTAACCTATGGCGCTGGCGGCCAGAGTAAGACTCAAAGAGTGGCTTATGATCGGGTAATGGATTCAGATTATTGCGCCGAATGTGAATATTACCCTAATGTTAACTAGAAATGGCTTGATCCTTACACCGCGTTCGTTTATGAGGTTCAACGCTTATATCTCAGAAAATATTCAACCCAGAGAGTGCGTTATTGTAGCGTTTCGTTCAAGATTCTGAATTGATAAAATAGCCATACCTAGTATTAAATTTAAATGTAAAAATGAGATTTGTCTGAATGTGAACGTCAACACCTTGAGCACGATAATTAATAGTTGACTTCATTCTAACTTCTAGTATTTGGTTCATTGCACCAGAACCTTTTATAAGCACAAGTATTCGAGTGTATGAACTGCCATCCCGTACTAAGTACTTTTGTTCGATAGCTGAAATGATTTGGTCTATTTACAATTGTTTTCTTTGCATATATATTTATATAGCTTGTAACGAACCGTTATTCATACAATGATCAACACTAAGACCGAAGTAATTGGAAAAGCATCTTTGTTTTAAAAAATTGAACTCAAGATGCTTTACAGTGATGACATAAGGTGAATCAATGACTTATTTAATGTAAATCACCACTCTGCACTCGACAATAGCATTTAGAATAGAATAGAATAGA